TGCAGGAGATTTAGAATTTGTATGAAGATAATGAGAGGTGCACACCAAAACTGGACAACCTGGAGTTCAGACATATCAGTGATGGGAGTAGAGAGGAGATTGAGAAATTGTTTACAGAGGAAGAGATATTTGGATGCCTTATGGAGTGCAACGGTGATAAAGTGCCGGGACCTGATTGTTTCAACATGAAATTCCTACAAGAGTTTTTGGGAGGTTTTGAAGGCTGATGTAATTGATGTCTTTGATGATTTCTACAGGCCAGGGTCCTTTGTTAAAGCCATTAATACCACATTTCTTGTTCTCATTCATAAAGTTGAGGGGGCCAATGATATCAAGGACTTTCGGCTGATCAGCCTTGTAGGGTGCATTTGCAAGCTTATATCTAAGGTGTTGGCAAGGAGAATGAGTAGGGTGCTGGGTGAGGTTGTTGGTGAAAGTCAAATGCATTTGTGGAGGGAAGACAAATTCTTGATGCAGTGATGGTTGCTAATGAATTTGTGGATGACTTGGTGAGCCGCAAGAGGGAAGGTATTTTGTTCAAACTTGACATGGAAAAGGCATATGATCATGTTAGTTGATAGTTTGTTAATTACATGCTTATGAGACTTGGTTTTAGAGTTAGGTGGAGGAAATAGGTGATGGCTTGCATTTCTGCGGCATCCTTTGCGATGATGGTGAATGGTGGACCTTCTTTTTTCTTTAAGGCGTTCAGAGGGTTTCGGCAAGGTGACCCTCCTTCCCCAATTCTTTTTATTACTGTTTTGGAAGTTTTTAGCAGGTTAATGGATAGAGCAGGAGAACTCAATTTATTCAGTGGCATTTCTGTGAACAGAGGGGAGGATAGGGTGTTGGTTTCTCATTTATTTTTTGCTGATGATGCCCTTATTTTCTGCAATCCTGATCTGTCTTCCTTGTTGTACTTGAGATGCATAATCTTGTGTTTTAAACTGGGATCGGGTTTGAGAATAAACATGATGAAGTCTGAAATTGGTTATGATTGCGGGATAGAAGTGATGAGCACGTGCTGGCTGGGGTGTTGGGGTGTAGGGTGACTGTTTTGCCTATCAAATATCTTGGCATGCCCCTTGGTGTGAAGTATAAAGATGTAAATACATACTCTTATCAACAGCACTTTGGCGAATTTGCCTGTATACCACCTATCCATGTTAACTATTTAAGCCAGTATTGTTACCAAATTAGAAAAATACAGTGTCGTGTTTTGTGGGGTGATGAGGAGGGGAAGAGAAGATATCATTTGATGAAATGGGGTGATGTGAAAAAACTTATTTGGGAAGGGGGCCTTGATTTAAGGTCATTGGGGGATATGAATACTGCCTCTACATGTAAAATGGTTGTGGAGATTCACCAAAGAAGATAGCAAGCTGTGGAAGAGGGTGGTGGCAGCTAGGTGGGGGGAGTTGCTAGCAAGGGTGTGTCCAAACCTCATGGTATGAGTTTGTGGAAAAATATTAGTGGGGGATGCCATAAATTTTATGATTGCGTTACATGGAAGATGGGTAACGGTGCCTGCATCAAATTTTGGAAGGATCTGTGGGTGGGGGACATAAAATTGATGCACCGGTTTCCAACTATTTGTGCCATTGCACATGACAAAGATATACATGTGGACAAAGCTTATTTGGGTTCTGATGAGGGTAGGGATTGGGAAGTGCAGGTTTGCAGAAATTTGCAGGATTGGGAAATGGATGAGTACTGTAATTTGTTAAGTTTTCTTTCTGAGATCAGGCTGGGAAATCAGAAAGATCAGAGAATATGGAAGCTGAACAAGCAGGGACAGTTTCGGTGAAGTCCTTTTACAATTTTTTACATAGCAGGAGGGCTGGGAGACTGTGAACGTGCCGTTTAAGCAGATCTGGAAATCAAATGCTCCACCTAGGGTGACTTTTTTTATATGGGAAGCTGCTAAGGAGTGTATATTGACTATTGATATGTTGATGAAAGGGGAACCATTATGATTAATGGATGTTTTTTGTGTAAAGCTGGTGAGGAGTCTTGTGATCACATCTTACTGTGGTGTCCAGCTGTGTACAGCATTTGGTCCACGGTCTATGGGTTGTTGGGGTTGAGCTGGGTCATGGCAGGAAGTGGGAGCGAGGAGCTGTGGGCTTGAGAGAGTGTGTAAAAAGAACAGATTCCTACGTCTTATTCCACAGTCTATTTTCTTGGTGGTATGGAAGGAAAGAAATGCGATGGCATTTGAGGGAATTGAGAAGGATTTTGTTAGCTAGAGATACTTGGCTCAATACTTTTTGACTATATGATTTTGGGGCATGACATTAGGGACTTAGATCATTTTGGGACTGTATTTAACCATCTGATTGACATGTAACTATTTTGTATGCGGGTGATACCTCCTTAGTACACTATTAATATACTAGAAACTTTTATTTAAAAAAAAATTGCATCCATGCATGGTTTTATTATAGGGGTTTGATTTTTGTTGGCCCCATCAAACAAGCACATAAGACCTCCAGTTTTACTAGTTTTATAACTATGAAACAGAGTTGAGACTGAGCCTTAACAGTTTTCATTTTGTTGGGAGTGTGGTTGTCTTCAGTTACTATTCTAGAGTTATATTGCAACCATCCAAGAAAGTGGAAAAGGAAAAACAAAATGATAATCATGGCTTATTCTCTTAGCAATGGAAGAATTCATTTTTTTCAACTTCAGGCTTCAAGGGTTTTGAAATTGGAGAGAAATAGTCTGGAGTTCCTTCTGCAACACTTCTGTGGAGTTACTGCTAACAAAGAGTAGGTCCTATCTCTCTCTTTTTTAAAAAAATTTGCAATTTTCCTGTCCTCTCTCCCTCCACCCCCCTCTTTTTACAATCCTTCTTTTTCTGGATGGTTGATTTATTAATTTCTTGCAGATACCAACATGCTGATTGGAGATTACGCCCTCTTCCTGATGAGATGGTTAGGTATGTATTCATATGAAGCCTCTTTTCTCCATTTTCTTCCCTCTTCCCTCTTTTGCTGCTCTTAAATTATTTAATTTGTCTCAATGGAAAGGGAGATAAGCCCCTTTATGGAAGAAGTGATTAGAGAATATATTTATATTATTTTTGTTGGTTGCTAAGCACTGAATGTGTTTGGTTTCTTTTAGGCATTACTGATATCCTAGAAAGGTGGGTATTCTATGTTTGGGATCCTAACGAGTATGAAAATCATTCCATTTACCAAAGGATATCAAAGAAGGAAGGAGTCTAGACTCCATGATTAATCTTTCCTAGTTTTATGGTCAAGTGTGGAGGTGTTTTCTTTTTCTATGTATCTGTTGCAATCTCTGTACTGGAGTAAACCTTGATAGTATATATTATAGGAGTATTTGAATAAGGATTGGTAGTTTTTCTTGAAATACTGAATAAGCATTGGTAGTTGTGTCATTGACTAGGTATAGGAATAGATAGGGATAGATAGTTTCTCTGTCTGAGAAAACCAGCAACTGGTCCTCTCTAGTGTAATAAATTTTATATCTGATTCTCTAATGCTATGAAAGAAATTTATGAAGTGTTGAGTTCTTACTTAAAAGGTTGTTGAGTTCTCTCTCAATGATCCATAAGTTAGATACAGAATAGGTAAAGGACGAAGTTGAGTTCTTACTTAAAAGGTTGTTGAGTTCTCTCTCAATGATCCATAAGTTAGATACAGAATAGGTAAAGGACGAAAATTAAGTAATACTCAAAAATCAATCTACTGATTTCTATGTAATTGACACATCTAGATCCATATCTAGCAACTCTACCATTGTATCACAAAATATAGTAGTGATGTTTTAATGGGCCTACAATTTAATTAGGAACAAGGGGGCTAAATTTCCATATCATTAATCTCCAAAGAACCAGACAGCATGTTTCATTCAACTATTTCCTTTCCTTTCGTGCTTGCAAATTTTACAATCTGAAGTTAGTCTGATCATTAGGTTTTGGTTTCATTTGAGGATGTATGAATATCTGCAATGATACAGTTTTTAATATTTAGTTTGGGTTGATGGATCTCTTCAAGCTTTCTTTAAGAAGTGTGGCATCTTCCCCTTCAAAGTTATTTCTATGCCCGACTCATGTCATATATATTAGACAATTTTTGAAGCTATTAATTAGAAAATAGCATCAAGGCAAGGGTATAAACGACAATGATTAAGAAAGAAAAAAATATTGATTATTGGCAAAAGTTCCCCTACTAATTCAATGTTCCGTGGAATTAATCCCGTGAATGGATGACAATTGGTGCTTATTTGTGTTAATGAGCCTAGTAAAAGAGAGAAATTAGGGGGGTGCTTTTCCATGAACTTAGTTTTGCCTGTTGTTCCCTCTCGCTTTTACTTTATCATCAGTAATTTCTGTTTTTTTTTTAAGTGATAAGATTTTTTGCATAATAGTGTACAATACTGATGGTAGGACCTAACAGGGAAGGAGGTTTGATGGTTCTGTTATTTATAAATTTATTTTTCCATACAGAGCTTTCTGTTTACATTTTCTTAATTATCATTTCTGGAATTGCCAGTTTCTTATCATTACTTCAATCTAATCCAAGTACACATCTTCTTGTGATGACAGATATGCGAGGGAAGATACTCACTATCTGTTGTATATTTACGATATAATGAAAATCCGATTGCATGCATTGTCGAAGGAACCTGAAAAATATGGTGATCCTCTGGTAGAGGTAAACAGCTTTGTTAAAGCATAGACATTTTCTACCCAAAAAACAAGCATAGACATTTCCTCTGTTAGTCATGTATTTGTACCGTAGGGCAGAATTCTGTAATTAAGCAAGTTAAAATTAAAATTTCATTGATTCTCAGTTGTTTGGGGTTATTATTGTGTTCCCTTTACCTTTCATATACCAACTACTTCTACAATGATCGATCTTGATCAAAACCACTAAAAATATGATACTGATCCAAATCTTTGATTTGGTTGTTGTCACCACAGAACAGTTACTGGATGCTTGATTTTCTTCCCTTTGGAAATGTCCATGCACATACACATATTAGGATTGATACCGTACCAGTGCATCACACATTGCATATATAGGATTGATATCTCACCAGCACATCACACATTACACATATAGGATTGATATTGCGCCAGTGCATCTATGTAGAAGAATTAATCCTTCTGTGGAAGGCAAGAAACCCATCCTTTGTTCTATATACACATAGGATCAATATTGCACCAGGACCATGTTTGTCGAAGAATTAATCCTCCTTGGTAGCAAAGAGTTTAATTCTTTGTCTTCAATGACAAAGAAGTACTTCTGTTCTAAGGGAATGTCCTGGTTGATTGTCTATTAGTTCAATTTAGCTTTCCTGTCATGGGGTATTTTGGTGGTTTTGCTTTCTGTTTAGGCCTTAAATATCCACTGGCCTTAGGTTGGGCTAGATATTAATTTTAGTTCTTAGTCTATTAAAGTTGGGTTTTATTAATTCCTTACTTTTAGGATTTGCAGTTTTTGCATATCTCAAGTTAGGATTTTTTTAAGAGTTAAAACACATCGGTTTGCACATTTTGTTAATTAAATTAGTGTCAGAAAATTGTTGCTCAACAAGATGTGTCATAGAAAATGAACAGCTTCCTCAATAAACATTTTAATTGAATTGCTGATTGTTCAAAGTCAGTGATCAAGCTAATTAAAACCTATGTTACCTAGATGCATAGAGCATTTGAGCCAAATCTGGCATTTTGTACTAAGAAAGTGATTGGCAAGAGTTTACTGAGATATTTAAAATCTGCAGGTTGTAAAAAATTTAATTTGTTTATGTTCTGACTTTTGTTTTTTTTAAAAGAAATTGGTGGAAATGGTTGATCAGTACAATAATTCTCTTTTGATGTCTGTAGGAGTTTTCAACTGTCATTATAGTTCCATTGACTAACATCCCCTTCATATATCCACTATAGATATATACAAACATATAGATACATTGACTTTAATTTCATACATCTGCCCGATCGCGATCTATTTTAGAAAATAGCTATAATTCATTTACCCATATGTCATGTTTACACATGCTTAAGAGCTTTTTTTCATTTATATTCAGAGTAATCTACATGTTATAACAGTTAGAAGCAGCTTGTACGGGTCAAATGCATGATTAACCATATATACTATATTACAGTGGTCAAGATCCTAATTTATACTACCAGAAGGACAAAAGATGTTTTTTTTTTGTACAAAAGATTTTTATCTTTCCGCTTATCAATGGGTATATATACAAGCAGTTTTAAGAATCCTAGCATAAGTTTTTCCTTTTTCTGCTTATCAATGGGTATATATACAAGCATGTTCTGCAGAAGTTTTATATTAAAGGTGAATAATGGCAAAGTTATTGGTGATCTTCCTTCTTCCTTTTAGTTAGTTCTCCTTCCAATAGACCAAACACTAGCCTGTCTTTGGTCCTAATAACAGCTTCTTGTGCTATTCTAGGACCTTTGCAAACCCTGAATGCTATTGGAAAACATTTTCTAGTTTTTAGTTTTATTCTTTTAGATGCTGGTAGTCTATAGCTATATATGTACGTATATATATGTCTGTATGCATGCACATATTTATGTGTTTATATGTACACACACACATATATATATTTAGATCAAAAGAATGCAGTATATTAAATCAATTATGTGGGTGTAAATATGTTTTATTCATATTTATTAAATATATAGATATATGTATAGAAGTCTAATATTATTTTAGTCTCATAATTTTGGACCTCATAACAAAGTCACCTCTTTTTTAACAATTTGCTTCCAAAATAAATACATGCTTACTGTAAACATTTAGTCCTTTTTGTTACAATTAGGTCTTGAAGTGCTAAGAGAGGATAAATTGTAATTTGTTACCTAATTGTAACTGAAAACTCTAGGACGTTGTAACAAGGACCAGAGTTTTCAGACAATGTATATGTATGTATATCTAATTTTATATGAACAGATATCAGTACAAGTATATATACTTGTATGTATATATGACACCAAAAGTATAAATGAAAAGTGGTCGAGGGCGAACACTCCAGTATTTTGTTTGTTATTTTTAAATTTATGCTATATTTTTACTTTCATTTTTAAAATAATATTTTATTTTGTTTTTGCATATAAATATACATGTTTGTGAAAATTAAAAACTTGAAAACATTTTCATGTATCAAATGGAGCCAAGATTTCAGCTCTAACTCACCATAATTCCCAAGTAGGTTGGCCATTCTGAATCTGCCCTAAATCAACATTTGTTAGGATTTTTTAATTGTGTTTAGCATTAGTCGACGACTTTTATCATACCATTTGATGTCTGAGTGGTTTAATGGCAACAGGTTTACAAGCGCAGTTATGATATATGCTTTCAGCTGTATGAGAAAGAGCTTTTGACACAGAATTCATTTCTCAACACATACGGGTTTGTTCTTTTTATCTTAGTTGGAGGAACTTATTTTTTTATTCTTTAAAATGAATCTGATAAAATAATACTGCTTGTTTAGCTTTGTGCCTTTTCCTGTTTTTCATTTGCAAATTTCCCCTCTATAATTATGCAACAAGTTCACTTTTCTCCTTTTCCTTCAATTTGAAATTTCTTTTCATTTTGTGTTGTATTAGTAGGAATTATTATTCACTAGCATTTATTTTCCATTGTTTGGTACTGTGATATAGGCTACTGGGTGCTGATTTAAATGCTCAGCAGCTTGCCATTGTTTCTGTAAGTTATGCTCATGCTACAGGATTGTGTACTTCCAGGGTTTATTTTCTTATGAGTATTGCTATTTATTTTATCCCTTATGGTACTTAAATTTGTTTTAGGGGCTCTGTGAGTGGCGAGATATTATTGCACGTATGGAGGATGAAAGCACTGGTTATATATTACCCAACAGGACTCTTCTTGAAATAGGTAATCTGTTCTACACCTTTGGCATTGGGCACATGAATTTTCTGTAATAATTTGGAGTTCATAAATCTTGACTTGGTTCACATTTTCTATGTCAAAAGCCAAGCAGATGCCTACTACGGCTGGCAAGTTGCATCGATTAATCAAACCAAAGCACCCCTATATTGAGAGGAATCTTGCTTCAGTAGTTAGCATCATTAAGAATTCCTTGCAAAATGCTGCTGCATTTGAAGCAGTTGCTCAACAACTAAAAGAGGAACGTGAAGAAACAGTAAGACCTATAAACATAATCTATTAGTTGGCATACTAGTAATATAGATCAATTTCTGCTGGATGGTTCTTTTCATCTTGTCAATCGTTTTGGTTGATCTGGCTATAACTATCTCTAAGTTGATCTAAATAAAAAGTTCATTTATACCCTTGAAGGGTATCTTACCTTATGATTAGTTCCATCATGGCTACTAAAGATAGGTGGTTTGTTGTTTTTAGTTTTTGTTTCGCTCCTAGATTTAGAGGACCGGGAAGTTTTATAGTTTTGCTTTTGAATTTTAAATTGCTTTACATATTTTATACGGTTCGTAAGGGAGATTTCCTTTGCCATTACTGAAAGTCTTGGTTGCCAAGCATTAATTGATAGACTTGTGGATTTAGTAGGGCGGGCTTTGATTGGGAAAAGTTGCTTTTGGATTTTGGCCATGTAGGTTCCCTCTGAAAGTTCTTCTATTTAATTACTCTTCAGTTGGTTTTTCTGCTGCTTAAAATTATCAAAAAAGTTAATTAATCTGTGAGTTGGCCAAGAAGGTTTTGGGAATTGTGGAGGATGGATTTTAGTCTCACCTTTCTTTTTCTTTTCTACAGTGAAATTCTGTTTTACAATTATTATTATTAGGTAACAGAAACTTACATTATAGGCATCAGAAGAAAAAAAAGAGGCAGGTGATGGATCTGAAGTTGTACCCTCTGAGCCTCGTGCAGACATGGAAGCTGCAAATGCTATAAGAGAGAGCATCAGCAGTGGTACTGAAGCAAATGATGTTATAAGTGTCCCCATATCAGCTTCTCCAACCACTAAAGAGAAGTCTTTACAGCTTGGAGGTGCACCTCAGCTGCCTGCTGCGAATGGGAAAGTCAAGATAGAATCTGACTCTTACACATCGAAGGTTCCTGGTGGAAGCTTCACCAATTCAGGGCAGAGGAATAGTGAGACACCTACCCGTGTAGGCTTATCACTGTCATTGAAGGTTGTTGATCTATTCCTTTTGGATATATGTTTTCTTTTTTCATAAATGAGTAGCCCTGGACTAAAATATTTAGGCCCTGGACAGGTTTCTGCAGCTATAGTTCAGGCTTCAAAGCAACCTAGTCGTGGTTTTGGTGCCTTGTTGGGAAATGCTGCCTCAAAACGGAAATTTGGTATTGATAAGGTTAGTTAATGTGTTCCAGTAGAGAGAATCGATTATAGCCGGGACCATGTATACACACACTCACTCTCTCTCCATTTCTCTAAAAGTTAAATATTAGAATCCAGTTTTTGCTTTGCTTGGGAGCTGCTGCCCAAATTATTTGGTATTGATAAGAAGGTGACTTAATATGCTGATATGTTCATTTACAAAAAGAATCTACTGTGGCATTTTCATGACTCTCCCTCTTTCTTTCCTCCTGAAAAAGTCAGATATATCATATCTGGTTCTTTTCAACATATTCTGTGATCTGCAATTTACCATTTGCACAATTTTGGTAAGACACTTCTGAACCTTTGCTTGGCAGTTCATCTTTTCCAGAATGCTATATGTTAATTGGTAAAGAGGTTATACCGCAAATGCACAAATTTGTAATGCTTGTATTTGATGAAATGATAGGGCTGTGCTTTAACTTTTATGAATTGGGTGAAAATTAATGGAATGACTGCTATTTTAGCTACTAACTTTTATTTTTGACATCCTAGGACAAGGAAGAAATGAAGTTGGAGCAGATTAGATCTTCTGTGAATCTTCCGTTCCACTCATTTTCGGGAAAAGATTCCCAGTTGAAATCAGTTGCGGACAATAAGGTCATGGAAATTCCACAGAGCAAACAACTATCTCCGGTATCAGTGCCTGATTCCAAGGTAGAAGATATAATAATGTTAGAGGATAATCAAGATGATGCACAGGAATCAAAAAGTGGTGTCTCAGAAGCCACAGATACTCCTAGGGAGGAGAAATCTGTGGGGTGTTTGAAATTGGAAGATGAAGATGAGCCTATGTCACTCTCTGATTTATCTTCAAGCTTTAAGAAGTGCTTCCAGTCCCTTAATCAAAATAGGAAGGCTGGGACAGTTGATAAATGTCAAGAACGTGGAGATTTGCTGCAGCTAAAACCATTTGATTATGAAGCTGCTAGGAAACAGGTGAAATTTGGGGAAGATGCAGAAAAAGGGTCGGGATCAGGAGATAGTGAAAAGCAAAAGAAAACCCTTGATTCTTCTAGTGGTAGAAAAAAGAGTTCAGTTGTAGGTCAAATCCAAAGAGGTGATGAAACCTCAGAATTTTCTCAAGGTAAAAGACGCCAAGCTTTTCCGGCATCTGGGAATCGAAGTGCAACGTTTCTTTGAGCATCATCGGGGTTACAGAATTTTCTGTATGAGTAACTTTGAGAGTTGGAAAATTTTAAATCTTGATATGAATGAATGAAATAGTAAAAGGGGGTTACAGAAGTTGATTACAGTAGACGATCGTTAAAATCTTTCTTACACTTCAAAAAACCTGAATTGAACTTTGGTCTCGTGATAGCAAAGAAACAAAAAGATGCGGCAAGATTTAGGCAATTGCTTATTTTGACATTACTCATGGCAACGATCTTCTTTTAAACTGTTTTTCTGAAGAACTTTGTCTTTTGTGTCATAAAAAAATAAATCAAGTTCAAGATTATATATAATTTATCATTTTTCTAAAGAATTTTAGGTCCTATACCACCCACCATAAAACATTTGATTCAGCGGCTGTACTGATGGCTTACACGGGAGTGTAAATATGTATCAAACTCAGTCTCATAAGTATGATATTTATATTTAATACAAAATCAAATCACTATTTTTATGAACAAAAATGAATTAACAAAAGAAAGAATTAAATTTTAGAATATGAATTAAAAAAATCAATTGGTCCAAAACCCTAATGTTGCTCTCTCTTGACATCGCCTTTACGGAGAAGGGGGAGGTGCTGCCTTGCTCGGAAGGTTAAGATAAGGTCGGAGGAGAATCACTCTCTGATTCCTGACGAGCAACCAACGATGGAGGAAGGGATGGCAGAAGGAGAGATGGAAACAGAAGAGGTGTCACCCGACCCGGAAGCGAGCCACCTAAAGTGGAACGATGCGACCCGACCTGGGGCTTATCGCCCTGCGTCGATGGTAGGCGAACAAGGTCAAGATGCAATAATGATGGAAGGAGTTTAGAAAACAGGGACGGTGGAGCCCTGTTCTAGTGCGACCCGATTTGTGTTCCAGAGTGCAATCCGACCGAGTGCAAATCAGGTGTTGGTTGCGAAGGACGAGCAGTTGATGGAGGCAACGTAGGTTGAAGGTAAGCTGGCAACAGAGGCGACTTTCCTCTGTTCTGGTGCGACCCAACTAGAGGCCCACACCTTGCTCCGGTCTGGTGTTGAAAAATTGGATTCTAAAGATGAAACTATGGTGTATGTTATGATTGGGGATGAGTCCTACGGAATGGGCGGAGAAGCGGTGAACATTAGGCAAATTACAAGGGAGCAACCGCAAACCACAAACTTGGGAAACCTCCTCCCCCACAAGGAGCACTGAATTTGAAAGTTTCTTTCAGAGATAAACTCATCAATAGTCATCAAGCTGCTAAGAGTCGAGATGAAATTGAGATTATGGACGGAGATGTTAAATTTGACATTGAGAATGTAATACCGAGAATCAATTTTTTTGATAAGGTGCACAACTCCTAGTGCAAAAATATGCAACTTACAGTTATTATTCGACTATTTGGGAAACTGATTTGGTATAAAGCACTCTGGGCAAGATTTCATAGGCTGGGGAAGCCTAATGATCGACTAGACCTAATTGACCGAGATAATGATTACTACATGGTCAAGTTCCACTCGACAGAGGACTATAGTTGCACGTCTTACGGATGACCTGTGGGTTATATATGGCCACTACCTCACAGTGCAGCCTTGGTCCCCCAGTTTCTTTATTGTAAATCTCGATGTCACTAATGTGGTGGCTTGAGTGCAATTTTTTGGTCTTCTCATCCATTATTACTACAAGAGTGTGTTCAAAACTATCTCCCATTGACTACAACACTGAATCTAAGATAATGCTGGATGGACGCTTACAGTGAGTGAAATATGAGGGTTTACCTACCATATGCTTCGACTACCTGTTGGGATTAACAAGACCCTTATTACCCACATCCCTAAAGTTGCAAGACCAGAGACTATTAAAGAATTTTGTATGATTAGTTTATTAACGGTTTTATATAAAATTGTTACTAAATTCATTGCCAATAGACTCAAGAATCTAATGCGTTTTTTGGTTGGCCCTACCTAAGCTAGCTTTGTAGCTTGAAGGAATATCATGGACAACATTATTCTTTCCCAAAACAGTCCACTCTATACGGCATTTATGGGAGAAAGACAAGTGGATGGCCATTAAGGTAGACTTAGAAAAAGCTTATGATCGCATTAGATGGGAATATGTGGAGGACACTCTACTTGATGTTGATCTCCCTCCTAACCTTATTAGAGTCATTATGCATTGTATCTCCTTTTGCTCCATGCAGTTGTTGTGGAATGGTTATATCACCTAGGAGTTCCGATCTATTAGAGGCATTCGATAAGGGGACTCAGTTTCACCATACATATTTGTGTTGTGCATGGAATGACTATCCCATTGAATCGACACCTTGGTAAGAAATGGTATGTGAAAGTCGATAGGTTTTGGTAAGAAAGGTCCTACCCTCTCACACTTTTTTTTTGCGGATGACCTGATAATCCTTGAGAAAGCCATTAATGACCAGACTCAGGTTATAAAGAAGGTGTTGGAGAAATTCTGTGTGAGTTCGAGCCATAAAATAAATGCGACTAAAATACTTACTTTTTTTCTCGCAATATTAACATGGGTGAAGCTAGTCGTATTAGCAAGATATTTGATTTTCAAGTCTCCAATAATTTTGATAAGTATATGGGTGTTCCGCTGTTACATGATAGAGTCAATAAAGATATTTATAATTACATCCTTAAGAAGATTAACCAGAAGTTATCTGGCTGGAACTAATATTCTTTTTTTTGTAGGCCATTTAACTTTGGTCAAGTTTGTCTTTATGACTATCTCTGTTTATGCTATACAGACCACGACTTTGCCTAAATCCCTATGTGATCGGATTGAAGCTGTGGTTTGGAAGTTTCTCTAAGGCTAGAGGAATGACAATAGGAAAATCAGTTTTGTCAGGTGGGATGGCATATGCATGCTTTATGACGCTAAGGGAAATGGTCTTCGGTCTATCCATAAGCAAAACCAAACATTCTTGATGAAATTGAGTTATGCTATGGTTTTGAAACCCGACCTCCTATGGGTCCAGGTCCTCACCTACAAGTATAGATGACCTGGTTTATTGTGGAACTACAAAATGACAGGACTAATCTCTCATCTTTGGTGCAACCTTAACCATTTATGCACGGACCTTCGAGTTGGCATCAAATGGTCCATTTGTTCAGAAAGAAATGTTAGGTTTTGGGAAGACTACTAGTTAGGAGACTTGAGGCCGCTTAAGCTTTTGACTTTCACGCATATTGAGGAACAGGATGTCCATAGATGTAACAGGGACTACGTGGTACCGTCCGACTAATGGGATTGAGAGGCCTTGCACCAAGTGTGATCAATAGGTATACAACTCTAAATGGCAGTGGTATTGACTCCTACAGATGACAATATTCTAGACTCCTACTTTTGGGGTATGACAAGTTCTGGGTGATTCTTGATTAGCTCGGCTTACGCCCTCTTGGAGAACAATCATTGGCACCCGGAGAATAGGAATGAAAGAGAAATTTAGCATTGTCCAAGTGCTCAACAAGTGCGTACGTTCCTTTGGTTGGCTGCTAAGGGAAGCTTTTGACGAATTGGGAAAGGTACCAATGTCACATGTCCTCTACTGCATAATACAGTTGGTGTGGCAGTCCTATTGAGGATGTGGATCATGTCTTCTGTAATCGTAGCGTGGCCAAGCTGTTGTGGTTGAAGATCATACCTACCAAACTCAATCAACTTTCTTCAGTGGCGCTATGGATGAGTGGTTAGTACTGAACCTAAAAAACAATTGGCCCTGGTGCAAGACATTTTAAGATTAGAGAGTGACATTTGGCCTTACTTGCTGGAGCTTGTGGTACTATAAAAATAAATTTACTTTTCAAAAGAGTGAGAGCAGTATCGAGGAGCTTGTTAAAGATGTGTCACTCATGACTTATTATTCTTTTATGGTTAATAATATGAATCTTTGTTTTCTTTTAAGTATGACATACAGATCGGAAGAACTTATTCCTTGGTAGAAACCACCTATGGGGTGGTTGGTTGAAGGTGAACACTGATGGTGTTTATCGTGTTGCAACCAATCTTGTCTGCTGTGGGGGACTTATTAGAGATGAGGATTGTGCTTGCTTGAAAAGTTTCAGTAGGAAAATTGGTAGATGCTCTGTTCTTCAGGCTGAGCTTTGGGGAGCCTTCGATGGTCTTCAACTCGCTTGGAATACCAAGTTCCGTAGTATCATTCTAGAAATGGATAATGCGATGGCGGTACAGTTACTCACTAAGGAGGATTACGGTACTAATGTGAGTGTCGTCCTTGTTCGTACGATCAAGCACTTGCTATTGCAGGATTAGCAAATCTAAATCCAACATATCTATTGCGAAGGAAATAAACGTGTTGACTGGTTGGTGAATGCTGACTTCTCTCTATCGGTAGGCCTCCATTCTCATGTTCAAATGTCAAATGATCTCCAACAGCTCTTCACTAACAATATCATGGGTGTCTTTTGGTTCAGGATATGCATGACGATCTCTTAATTTTTTTTTTTGGCTTTTACTTCTCCTTGTACAAAAAAAAAAATCAATTAAAACATGTCCCATAAAATGTCACATAAATAAAAACATTCATAAAAATATAGTTCAACTCAAACTCAAAGAATATACCAACTAATTTATCTTCTACATAAATTTTTAATAAAATAAATATGAATCTATCATTTAAATGAAGGAGCAGATGGAGGGAAAGGACAAAGGGAGTTGCCTATCGGAGGCTTGACCAACCATCAGTCGTTTTACTAGTTTCTTCACTACTTGATGCGATGGATACACAATGACAAGTGATCGGAGCATGTCACATGTGCAAGAGGTATTCAATCCAAACTAACATTAATCTAAGATTGGATCGAAAGTTAAACACTTCTACAATTACAATGATAGATTAAACGAAATATTATTTGATTCAATTTAATTCAAACAATCGGTTTTAGTTCAAACAATACATATAATTTGGTTTGGGTTAAGGTAAAAGCACCATAACAGTCTCAAATATATTTCTTGAAAAAAAAAAAAAACTGTTCAATAGGAGATGGCTTTTTTTTTTCTAAGAATTAAAATGGGAAAGTAAAAAAATTAGAGATTAATGAGGAAGTTGGTGTAGAAGAAGGGGGCAGTTTGGTTTCTTTGCTATCACGAGACCAAAGATCAATTCAGGATTGTTTTTTTTTTTTTTTGAAGTGAAAGAAAGATTTTAACTATCATCTTCTGTAATCAACTTCTGCAACCCTCTTCCGCCATTTCATTCATTCATATCAAGATCTAAAATTTTCAATCTCTCAAAGTTATTCATACAGAAAATTCTGTAACCCCATTGATGCTCAAAGAAAAGTTGCACTTCGATTCCCAGATGCCGGAAAAGATTGTCGTCTTCTACCTTGAGAAAATTCTGAGGTTCAATCACCTCTTTGAATCTGACCTACAACTGAATTCTTTTTCCTACCGCTAGAAGAACCAAGGGTTTTCTTTCTCTTTTCACTGTCTCCTGATACCGAGTCTTCCTCCGCATCTTCCCCAGATTTCACCTGTTTCCTTCCGGCTTCATAATCAAATGGTTTTAGCTGCAGAAAACCACCATGTTCGTGACCTTTATCAACTGTCCCACCCTTCCTATTCTGATTAAGGGTCTGGAAGCGCTTCTCAGAGCTTGTAGATAAATCAGAGAGTAGGAAAACTCATGTTTCTAAACATAAATCAAGTTTCTTTGGGCATTAGAAAAACTGGGTATTGGGTTTTGACTGCTAGTTTTTCTAGAGCGCACTGAAATGGGTAATACTGCCTTCAACCTCAGCCACGATCAAGTTTCCCCATGTGAATGCCACTTGAAATCCAAATCTTCTTCTTCCCAACTTTTACTTTCTTAAATCTCCAAACTGCCCTTCTTCTTCGCCAACTTACCCATTAGTCTCTCTACTTTTTTTTACTTTCCTATTTTAATTCTCAGAAAAAAAAAAAAAAAAAAAACTTTCCTATTTAACAGTATCTTTCGACATAAAAATCTTTTGCCACATAACGCTTAGAGATATTGACATAAATTTCTTTTGTTATGTTACATCAAATTTAATACAATTAGTTGGTGTGTTATTACGAATGTTTGACTAATATAAGTTAAAATATTAAATATTTAATTAACCATAATCCAAACATTAAATTAATTAGCTAAAATTATTGCACGTCATTTTCTTAAATCATTTCAGTGATTTTAATTTATTTATTTTTAATTTAAAAAGTCATGAAATGAAACGTTTTAAAGAATTTCAAAAATTAAATTATAATAAGTTTTGAAATTTTAAAAATTAATCTCACAATTTATATTATTATTATTTCAACTATTCTTTTTTTTTTTTAATACAAAGTGGATTTATTATTATTATTATTATTATTTTATTTTTTAAAATAAAAGAGTAAGTACATACGTGGGTGGAGGAGATATTTTGGGAGGAGAAGCCAACCAGATGGGATGGGCATTTTCGTAAATTACAACTACAAAACCAAGGCTCCTTTAAACACCCAGTTTCAACTCAATCTTGGGGGCGGGAACTGAACTACCAATAATAAATAGTATTAATATTAAATAATTTTAAAACATTTCTTTTTAAAAAATTATTTCCGTTGATTTCTTATAGCTGTTTGTTTGTTTTTTTTAAAACAGTTGCCTCATCAATTTAAGGAAAAATAATAATAATAATAATAATAAAAAAGGTGTCTGGTTCCAGACATGGCCCCTGGTTTTGCACTGCCTTCTTATATACCACCTCTTCCCCCTACAGTTCCCATCAAAACCAAATCTCCTCTGTTTCATCCACTCATCCTTTCTCTCCTTTCACTTTCATTATATATATATATATAAATATATTTGTAGATAGATAGATCTGATCGGTCGAAGACGATGGACGGTGGTGGAATTGTGGAGCAGAGAAGGGAGACGGTGGGGTCTGTTAATAGCAGAGTAGGTTACGTCCATAAAATTAGCATGAAGAGGAAGAAGAAGATGGTGATGAAGAAGGAGACGAAGAAGGTGAGAAAGCAGAATGCTACTGCCATTCAAGAACTGTTTGATTCTTGCAAACTCGTCTTTAAAGGCCCCGGCAACGTTCCTTCTCCTCCCGATGTTCGCAGTTTATGCCGCATTCTCGGTATGTATAATTGATTAACTAATAAATTATATATATGTATATATTAAAATTTCCGTACAACTCGTTTGAAATAGTTTAAAATTTGAATATTAGTTATTGAATTGAAACAGTTGGAGCCAAGAAATAACATAATCATGGTCTGGTATTCCTGTGTTGATGTTGAATTTGTTTTACATACATATATATATATATATACACACGTAGTTTTCTTGATTCTGGATGTTATAGATATATGTGTGTGTGTGTGTGTGTGAATTGAATTGAATTGAAACAGTTAGACCAAAAATAACAAAATCATGGTCTGGTATTCCTCGTTGATGTTGAAATTCTACGTACATATAAATATATATATGTGTATATTTCTTGATTCTGGCTGTTATAGATACATATGTATGTGTTGTGCTTGTATTGAATAGAAATGGTTAAATGATATGGTTTATTGGTTAATCAGACAAGATGAAGCCAGAAGATTTTGGATTAAGCACAAATCTGCATTTCTTTAAAGTCACTGGTGCAGGAAAGGGAAATTCCAGGGTCACCACCACTACCATTTACCAATCCGATAAGTTTTCTGTATGATCCTTTTCTTCGTATATTTTGAATTGTTATGAAAATCTATTTCTGAAAATTGACAATTACATGTTTATCTATATATTTTTATATATGTTTGGTGTATGTATTATGGGGGCAGCTGTGTATATTCTTCCTTCCTGCGAGTGCTGTGATCCCGCTCCACAACCATCCAGGAATGACGGTGTTCAGCAAACTTCTGGCGGGGACAATGCACATCAAATCATACGATTGGGTTTCTCCTCCCAATTCTGATTCCTCTCAATGTCAGTACATTAGTTATGTGTGTTTGTTTATATATATGTATATATATGTTAAATAGCAGAGATGAGTGAAAGCTTTTAGACAACGTGGTCTTGCAGTGAGATTGGCAATGGTGAAATCTGACAATGTTTTCAAAGCTCCCTGCAACACCTCTGTTCTTTACCCAACAACCGGAGGCAACATCCATTCCTTCACCGCCATTACTCCCTGCGCCGTGCTTGATGTCCTCGGACCTCCCTATTCCAAATCCGACGGCCGGGATTGCTCTTACTATAAGGAATTCCCCTACTCTCATTTCTCAAGTAAGTCAATTATGATAGTATTTTTACAGTTCAACGAATTTGGGTTATGGAAATCACCAACCCCAATATTTACTTTGTCAATGCAGATGGAGAAACAAGAGAATTGGGAGAAGAAGAGGAGGGTGAGTCTTATGGATGGTTGCAAGAGATTGATGTGCCAGAGAACTCAGAAATGGATTTAATCAAGTATTTAGGTCCACAGATTATAGACACGGATTAATTATTGCCTAATTTTTTCTTTCTTTCTTATTAGTCCCACAGTTGTTTTTGGGGGGTGCCTCATTTGAGTTTCAGTCATGTTAATAGTAGTTTCAGAAGTGTGTTGTTCATTTGTCACTATTGGGTTTGGGGGTAGGTGGTGTATGAAACCAACATATTACATATATATATATATATATGATGAAAAAGTGGGTTATTCATAATTTTTTGAAAATAGGTTTATAGTTAATTAGAAACAAGAGAAAGTTGGGAGCTGTAATGGTCATTAGTTTTAGATGATGTTTTTGGATAATTTGCTGGTTTTGGGAAAAGTGAATCCAAAGATTTGACCTAACAGATAAGCAGCAACTTTTCCAAGGCAATAATACTAACTAATATACTACTAATCACTCCATTTTGCCTTTTAAATTTGCTTGATGAAAAGCCCATATCTATAGACCCAACAAAAATGAAACGCCTAATCAGTAGTCCCCCTTGTTGGGTTCTCTTATGGGTCTTTGGTATTAGGTTTCATTGGGCTTGTCCGCTAAAACAAAAACAGGCCATTCAGTGTATACCTGGGTTTCATTTGACTCAACATGTTCTCAAAATTCAAGTTGGTTTGGTTTTTCATGTACATTAAAATTCAAAGTCGTCGTGACTTGAAATGGGTTTTAATAATTTTAATTCTATTTTTGGTCCCCCCCCCCAAATTCAATCCAACATAAATTGCATTCGAGATAGTATATTATATATAATATTAAATTGAAAAGTAACAGTGGTTATGATAGCGTTGAGAGTAGCTGCCAACCACGTAATTTAAGCCACTAATTAACAATAATTTGATTTACATTATGACGTAAATTTACCACATGAAACAATAATTAATGTGGAGATTTAACTCTCAACTCAAATAATTTCTGGGTTGAGTGAATGAAAAAACCAAGTCTTGGTATTGACAAAGACACGAATGACATTTTCAACGTCGGTGGAAGATGACGTAATCTCCCCCCTCGTTATTTATAAAAGCTCTCAATGTTATGGGTTATGAAAAGAAAAGATGTATACATATCTACATACACACACACACACACATATATATATATATATATAAAGCTTCTGTCACAATCTTGAATCTTATGAGGCAATGAATTATGAGTTTAGATATTTTTTAAGTGTTTTTTTTTTCTTTCTTTTTTTAGGTTTTAATGAGCTCTTTTTTTCGACTTTATATTGCCATAATTATAAAGCTCTCAAATCCAATCTTCTTCTTCTTCTTCTTCCTTTTTTTTTTTTTATAATTTTTTATAAATATATAATTTTAACTGTATGTATCTTACGTGTTCTTTATTAAAATATATAAATTTTTATTTTAAAATATTAATTATAACAGTGTATTGATGAATAAAATATATTATTTAATATAAATTTATTTAAATATATAGAGTGATAAATAATTTTATTGAACAGATAAATTTTGTATATTTTAAAATATTTTTCTTAATAGAATTTAAGATATTTACTCAATAATTTATTTTGTGTTATATTTCCATATTGAGCAAACTTGGGTTACACCAAAAGAAAAAGGCTACTCAATAAAGTTTTATTCTAAGCAAATAAAAATTCTGATAAACTGCTTTCTTTTTATAAAAAAAATATATACATATATATATTATATATATTGAATAGTATGAGACAGGCTGGTATCTTATACATAGATTCAGACAACAATACATACACATATACATATATATATAGATATATCTTATGTTTAGCATTAATTTATTAATAACACCACATGCCCACTTTTGATAATTTTCCAAAAATCTGGTAATTTTATTTTTCTTTTCAAAATTCTGATTCTAGAGTACTTTTTTTTTTTTAGATTATATAATTCAAATTGCATCAATTACTTATATATATATATATATGTATAAATAATTATTTATTTTGATTATTACTTTCATTTGATTTATTTTAATGGGAACATTCCTGGGAAATGGCAAGATGGGGCCAACAACAAATCTTTTAGATTCAACCAATTCTTTAATTAGCAATTTACAAATTCAATTCCCATCTTTATATTTTCCTCACAAATAAATTACATTAATTTATAAAATATATATATTTTATTTTACTGAGTAAAAATATATTACATATAATAAAAATAAAATAACTATGATTAAAATATTTTTAAATAAATAATACATACATTTCATTAATTATATATACTATTTACATTATAATGAAAATGACATGAGCAGCATATATTAATTGAATGGAAGTAATTAAATTAAGATGAAAGATAACAGGCGGGTATTTGTTAGAGTGACAGTGAGCAGCAGGGGGGAGGCGCCAGAAGCAACTGACTGAACCTGGAAGTGGGGCCCATCGCTCAAAGTTGACGCCTTACGTGACCAGAGACAGCCAAATTTCACCGGTCACCACCACACCCACAAAGTGTGAGTTCACTCTACAGTATGTGCCCCCACACACCTTTTCTTTCTTATAATATATGTATATATAAAGCTTTATAGTATATTATGGTAGTGATGTACAAAATAGAAGTTTGATTAACTGGTAAAATCTGTTTGCATGCCGGGGAAAGATAAGTGGAAGGAATAAAGGGTTCTCTTCTGCGAGCATCTTTTTCTTTTCTCAGTTCCAGACATGAACTTCTTTTTCGAACCTTGAAAAGAAAAAAGAAACAGAGAAGGGAGAAAGAGAAAGATACAAGAGAAGAAAGTAATGTCGTTATTGGGTTTTCTTTTCTTATTTCTGTGAAAATCGAATGTCGTTTTGTGGGATTTCCAGGTCATGATCCCAGCGGAACTTTTGGCCGGACTACAAGTGTCACTGGACTCTACCTCTGTCACTTGCTTTGTCTTTGCATGAGCTGGGAAGCTGAACTCCAGAAACAAACAGTAAGATTTTGAGGTCCTTCATTAACAGGTTTTGAACTACAGTTTATATGTTTTTTGGGTTTTGATCAAGATGGGAGTCAGAAAAAGCTTCAGTACGCTTTGATTCACTATTAGCTTCTTTTCCCTTCTTTTCTATTTGGGTGAACTTTCTCGAGGAATTTTTGAAATGGGTTTTCTGTTTGCTTTTGAATTTGTTAAGTGGGAAGTGGAAGCTGTGTGATATGAACTGAATTTCAGTGGGACTTTTAGAGGCTTTGGTTCTGTTTGTTGATAATTTCTTTGGAGTTTGCCAGAGGCTTTGATTCGCCTAGCGCCTAGGAAGCTTCCACAGGAGATATTTTTAGTCTACTCTCCGTGATAGGTAAGGTTTCAAACAAGCCATGTTAAAACAATGAATATAGATATTTTTCTAAAATATCTATACCCATGAAACCCGTTATGTTAATTCTCACTTGAATTTTCTTGATTAATCAACATAATTACTCATGCTTTATTTCTCATTTAAATCAGAAGCTACTATTGTTGATTCATGTGTGTTTATATATTTTCATACTGTTATGTTTTGCAGAGGAGAATACGTGATCTGTGCACTAGCTTTGCATATACTTGAAACTAATGGCAAAGATATTCCCTGATTTCTACTGCTCTGCTTTCCTAGTTTTGTTCTCGATTTTGGCTTCACTCAACCATGCAGAGCAACCACAGTCCTCTCATGCTCAGACCCTTTTGAAAATTCAGGGTCTTTTAAACTTTCCGGCTGTTTTAAGCAGCTGGAATAACAGTACGAATTTCTGCAATGCCGAAACTAGTTCATCTCTAACTATCGTATGCTATGAGGAAAACATAACCCAGCTGCATATAGTTGGCAATAAGGGAGCTCCTCTTTTACCTAGGAACTTTTCCTTAGATTCCTTTATAATGACCCTTGTTAAGCTTCCAGACCTGAAGGTTCTCACTTTGGTTTCTCTTGGATTATGGGGTCATTTGCCCAGAAAAATTGGGCATTTATCATCTCTTGAAATACTTAACGTGAGTTCAAATTTCCTTTATGGCTCTATCCCTCGAGAGCTTTCATCCCTTGTAAGTCTCCAAACACTCATACTTGACGATAACATGCTTTCTGGTGAGATACCTAGTTGGCTGGGTTCTCTACCTACTTTGACTGTCTTGAGTTTGAGGAAGAACATGTTTAATGGAACTTTGCCAAGTTCATTGAGTCGTTTGGAAAATCTTAGAGTTCTCACACTTTCACATAACCATTTCTATGGAGATGTTCCTGATTTTAGCAGTTTGATCAACCTTCAAGTGCTCGACTTGAAGGACAATGCTTTAGGACCTCATTTTCCTAAGCTTAGTGATAAGTTGGTTATGCTGGTGCTGAGCAAGAACAAGTTCAGGTCTGGCATTCCTGCTGAAGCGAGCTCCTATTATCAGCTTCAACAACTGGATCTCTCTTTCAATAGATTTGTTGGGCCATTCCCAACATCAATGTTAGCACTGCCATCGATTATTTATTTGAACATCGGCACAAACAAATTCACCGGAATGCTTTTTGAGAACCTTTCTTGCAATGCGGAACTCAAATATGTGGATTTGTCGTCAAATCTGTTGACTGGAAGCATACCTAGTTGCCTTGTGCCAAAATCTAGGAGGAAGGTTGTCCTGTATGGAAGGAATTGTCTAGCGGGAAGGGAAAATCAACATCCATTTTCCTTCTGTCATAATGAAGCTTTAGCTGTTGGAATCATTCCTCACAGAAAGAAGCATACCTCAAAATCAGTTCTTGCCTTAAGCATAACTGGGGGGATCATTGGTGCAGCAGCACTCGTCGGCCTGATTTTCCTGTTTATCAGGAGAGTAAATGCCAAGAGAACAATAAAAAAATACCCAACAAGATTGATTGCAGAGAATGCATCAACTAGATACACCTCAAAGTTGCTATCAGATGCAAGTAAGTTTTGGTTTCTCTCTTCCCGTCTCACTACTTGCACATTCCGAGTTTTATTGCCTTTGTCATACTGGAAAATTTTTAATATTTTTTTTAATGTTTGATGCTACATTATTATTGCAAATCCTGGTTATAATATAGGAAACAAAATGGTGAATACACTTATATATCTTGAATGGGTAGAATAATCTCCAATTTTGCACTTGTTTGGTTCACAGTAGTTGGAGGTTAATGCTATGCCTCTAGATATCACAAAGCTAAGTCCTAAGGTTTTATATTGTTATGAGTTTAAAACATCCTAACTTGATGAGCCTCTGCCCTGTTGGAGAATATTCCTGGGATAAGCAAAACAATCATAAATCCTTACTTATGGGCATCCAATTTCTTCTAAGAAATTCTGCATCTTTTGCTCCAATGAAGGGTATATATCTCGCTCAATGAAGCTAGGAGCACTTGGCCTTCCAGCCTATCGAACGTTTTCATTGGAGGAGCTCGAGGTTGCTACAAACAACTTTGACACGTTAGCTTTCATGGGTGAAGGTTCTCAAGGGCAGGTATGGCAACCAAGACTAGTGAAAACCTGCTACATGTTAAGTTGTGTTTATATTTTACTCATAGCATGAGCCTTCTAGTTACTTTTCAATATATAGGAGCTGTGTTTTCCCAATAAAATGTCTTAGCACAAAAGAAGGTTTTTATTAGGTCTCCATGCAAATTTTGCTGCAATTTTCATCCTTATCCAATTATAAACTATATGTTTCCATTGATACTCATCAATACCACATATCTCTTCACAGAATTGGTGACATGTGCATTATCATACTTCCTTGTTTGTTCTCATATTTTGTAAAGAGGGGTTTCCTTCCTACAACATTAATTTGTATCTTTCCTACTTCCAGATGTATAGAGGTCGGCTGAAGGATGGTTCTTTTGTTGCTGTTAGATGCCTTAAAATGAAGAGAAGTCACTGTCCTCAAAATTTCATGCATCATATAGAGCTGATATCAAAACTGAGACATCGTCATTTAGTCAGTGCTCTTGGACACTGTTTTGAGTGCTACTTGGATGATTCCAGCGTCAGCAGAATGTTTCTCATATTTGAATATGTACCAAATGGCACCCTAAGAAACTGGATATCTGGTAATATATAAAATTTCTCTGTAGATTCTCAGAGTAATGACATATTCATCACACTGCTTGCCCTTCTCCTATTATCAGGCTCCATCTGAAAGTGATCAGTAAATAATGCTGATTAAAAATAGTGAATCATTTCTGTAATTTGTCAATCAAATGTAATTGGTCAAACCACATGAAACAATTCCACAAAAAATATAATTGGTCAAACAACTGACAATGTAGTCCATTTATGTATTCCAAAGTACCACTTTTGTCCACTGTTATCTAAATCTTGGTTCTATATCTTCTTTTGAATAGCAGAGCGACGCACCAGACGATTGCTTAACTGGGAACAGCGAATAGCAGCTGCAATAGGTGTAGCAAAGGGCATCGAATTCTTGCATACCGGAATTGTACCGGGAGTTTATTCAAATAATTTGAAAATAACGGACATTTTATTGGACCACAACTTTGTTGCAAAGATTAGCAGCTACAACCTCCCATTACTAGCAGAGAACACAGTAATGGTATACAAGACATAATTTGATCTGTTAGGTTATTCTGGTCAAGGAAATATTTTTGTTTGAGTAAGCAATTTGAGCTTGTATTATCTGTTCATGCTTGCAGGGTGGTCCTGGTGGATCCAAAGACCATGGCATTAGTACAAGGTATTCAGTGATGGATGTAATTGGATCGAGTTAGTTACTGGGATATTTCAATAAGGATGGTTAAAGACTAAATGCTTATCAAAGCGTAAAAAGCTTAAGTTTTCCTGATGACTAATTTAAGCAAGAATGACATTGCATTTTCTGGTCTCTAATCAATTTAGAATTAAATTCATGTAAACATGAATCTCTACTATTTCATTTAAGAAGGATAATGATACGTGAGTTTCTCAATATTGAAAAATTTTCATTGCATGAGCTTCCTCAAAGAGTATATGATGTTTCTCTAATCATTTGTTCTTGACAGCTTAAATCGTGAAGATAAGATTGATATTTACGACTTTGGAGTAATTTTACTTGAAATAATTGTTGGAAGGCCATTCAAATCCAGGAATGAAGTGGATGCTCTAAAAGATCAGGTTAGGATGCTTCTATATTTGTTTTCCCCTTTCATTGATATAATTTCGGTTCCTTCTCCGTAGATTTCCTTCATATCTCATACAAATTATAGATGATAACATGGAATGAGGTTGAAATCTGATATTGATTGAACTTGCAAGTCATACAAGCTCATTTTTTCATCAACGAGGATGCAGAATGGTTCTCTTTCTTTTTCCTAATATGAGCACAACACACTTATCTTGTCGCCTTTTTCTAAAGATTTTCCAGATCATCATTCTCTCCGGTTACATGAGAGAGGCTCCATACTTTCTGGCAGGTGGCTGTTGCATAATAACGTCATTTCAACTGAAAATATAGATATTAGGGAACAGACAACAGAAAATTCTATTCATGTTCGACACAAATACAATAGGCTATCATGCAGCACCTTAAATTTCATTAATCCAGCTTCCTCTTTTGTGGAATTTGAACTTTCCTACAACTTTCTATATTTGTCTCAGAAACGTGTCTAAGAAGAGCCAGCCTCAAAATGGTATACAAGCCATTTGTCTTTCTTATACAGTGAAGCATGGTTTCACTTACATTGACTATCTTCATCTCTGCATGGTCATATCACATTCTTGTTTGGCGCAACGAATGACCAAATCCAGTGGAATGATTTTGTTCCTCAAAGGAAATTATAACTGGAGGTTCAGAGATAGAGTGCTCTCAACTCTTTTTCCCAAACTCATCCACCTCTTAATTTTGAGAATGAAAATTAAGTTGCCTTTCAACATTCTTGTTTGGGCATCCAATGCTGCACGAATCATTCAAAATAAATCTACTTCAAACTTACATTTTGGAAACAGAAAGATGTAGATTGCCATATAATTACTAGCAATATATTTATCCACATGCTCCGAATCTAAGGGATGTCTCGTGTCATTATCAGCTGAAGTGCTTGAATAGTTCTTAGAAATATTATGGCAAATGCCAATCTCCAAAATCCACGTCAAGTTGGCTCACATATTTGTGTAAATAATTCACTATCAGCTGGAGCTCCTTGAGTAGTTCTTAGCTTTAATGGTGCATTAGTATAGAAGAGAAACTCATTTACCAACCGTGAGCTTCCAGCACATGGTAAATATCTTTCGAGTATCATGTATAATGCACATCAACTCTCATGGTTTGAATCAATAAGAACTACAAAGAAAACTTTGGTCGGAGTTATTTTATCATATCCATAATTGACTTATTACTCCTTGAACGTATGCAGTTGCAAACCAGTATCCAAGCTGACGATGCAGATAGAAGGACCATGGTCGATCGAGCAGTTAGGAAGACATGCTCAGATCAATCATTAAAGACGATGATGGAGATTTGCTTCAGATGTTTGCTAAACAAGCCAGCAGATAGACCATCCGTGGAGGATGTGCTGTGGAACTTGCAGTTTGCTTCTCAAATCCAAGATGAATGGCAGGGGGTCTCCCAGAGCAGTGAAGGTTCCCCAATTTCCCTTTCAGCACCTCCCAACCTACACCTCACCTATAATTAGCAGCAAAAACCAGGTTTTTATGATAATGAGAACTTTTCTGGAAAAGCATGTTTATGAAGTTGAAGCTTCTTTCATTTGTTTCTCAACAAAAAAAGAAAAACAACCATACCTCTTGGGACATACTTGTCTTCCTTCTTTGTTTTCTTCATCCTCTATCACTGCTTCAGGGTATAGCAGCTCACTAGAGGCATCAGAGAAACAGCATCCATGAATCTAATACCACGTTAAGAAGCTTTTCAGTTCATTTGTTCATCCATTCATGGCATGTCGAGCTTTCGATAGAGGTTTTTGTTTCCCTTATTGTGTTCTTCTCATTTTATCTCATTTCGGTGCAATTGCAGATGACTAGAAGGAAGTTGCAGAATCAATTGTATATACCTGTTTCCTAAGAAAGAATGCTGTTTAATACTCATCGTGTCTATTGATATCAGTTCCTGGTTATCTTGTTCACGGATTGTTTTATACCAAAACCAGTTTTTCATGACAATGTGAAATCTGAGGTTCTCCCACACTTTACTCCATTTTGACAATAGAGAGAGTGTATACAACTTCAATTATGCTCATAAAAGTACAACCAATTATCTCTTCTGAAGATTAGAAGGGAGCTCAAGAGTGTTCTGGAACAAATGAATTTCACAAGAGAAAGAAAAACACTAGAATTTATTTGTAAATATTGGTGTACTATTGTAAAGTTGCTTCAAACATGACAATTTAATTTTAATAAATTATAAATGAACACAAGAGTGTAGTCGTGTCTTAGAAAAATGCACACGAACCCAAACTCCCCTGCAAACTCTGAAGCAGCCCGCATGTTTAGTGAGAATAAGCGTGAATACAACAGGAGAGTGCGTGAAATTGTAGAACAGAGCTGGACAGCTGACTGAACCAATAAAACCACTAGCAACCTGTGCCATCCCAGAAAAATAAAGAGAGGTAGCTGTGGTGGCAAGCTTGAAAGTGAGACTAGTCCCAGAAAATCTTGTTAGATGGTGTATTTTCGTGATTGGGTTTGGTGTGCATTTTTCTTAGAAGATTTGTTGAAATGATTTTATTTCTGCCTAAAAGACAGCTCCGCTTGAACTTTGTCAGTTAAATGCTCTTCTTTCACAATCCTTCTGTAGTGTTGGCTTCTGTTTGGGCATTTGTACAGAAGCATTATTATAGGAGTGATGTATAGGACAAATATTTGAGAGCGGATAACCCTGTCTCTTGGAGAAGAGTTTGTGTAACGACCCCGGAAATGTGAAAATGAAATGAGTATTTAAACACATAAAATGCGGAAACGAGATCAAAATTTCAGTTAACATCCCTTACACGAAAACCAAAAACGTACTTAAAATATAAAAGATTAAACTAACTAAAAGAGAAACTCGAAAATAAAACTATGAGTATGACTACAGAATCTCTAAGCATCCCCTTCGTCGTGCTCCTGCGGAACGGGCTCGGGAACCATGTCTTCCTGATCTGAAATGGTTAAATAAGGAGTGAGCTACACTAGCCCAGTAAGAACGTCACGATATCTCACCGTCACGGAGGTAAAGGTGGGTAGAAAAACACAAAAGACCAATGGAGCATGATTTACAACAAATCCTTTTTATTTATGATAAAACCTTTACCATCCACTTACCTCGGTGGAATTCATGAAACAATATAAGAAAACAATAACATTATCACAATCATGGAATAATATAAGCTGTAAAACATAGCACTTATCATGCATTTTG